GTCCCGGGCGGGGACGCGCGAGGGCGGGGCTGCGGCTCCGGAGCCCAGAGGGGAAGAGGGAGAGCGCGGGGGTGGGGGACTCCTTCCGGGGGGGACTGGGCTTGAGCTAAGCCCGATGCTCAGGGAAGAGGAGCCGCCCAGCCCGCAGCTGGGAGTGGGCCCGACGCCTCCCCTCGATGGGTGGAAACTTGAAACTCCCGCTGGTGCCAGAAAACTCACCGAGGGCGTTTCTATCGCCCCCAAGGAGGAATTCTTCCCTGAGGGAATCCAGAACCGAGTCGAGCGTGTTATTTGGCTGTTCAGCTTGAAAATCCTGGACCTGGAGAGAGAAAAAGACTTGCCTTAGAGGAACTTATGTATGCAATAAAGAACTTTACATTATTTTTGCAGAATTTACCCAACTAGAAAAACTTGCTTTTTCAGGGGCAATTTTTAAACCGCCACCGAAACCTCAATGGATATGGCCCCAATCGAGAGTGCAGATTTTTATCCAGGCAAGGATATTTGATAAATTTTTATTATCTCTGGCATTGTTCGGCAGTTGGAAGAAGTCGGTTAAAAGGAAAATGTTGGAAGTGGGACCCCAAAGAGCAGCCAAACCTAAATTATCCTAGACTTTGTGAAAGTTAGGCATTTGATCATGGTGTGACTCTAGCCCACTGACTTTAGTGGTCGGGACTAGATAGACTTCTGGTCGATGTTCTGTTATCTACTTCCAAGCCCCTGGTATTTTCTGCTGGGATTCAAAGAGCAAAACTTGCTCTGAGTATAGAAACAGAAAGTGCACAAAATCAGATTCGCCGAGCTTGCTCTGTTTGCAGTGCTTTATATACTTTTTATTAATAAACTTCAGATTCAAATAAAACCTCACGAGTGTACTTAACTTCCGTAGAACAAATAATTCATATACTTCCTGCCTTAGCATTTGCCTTCCCTGAGACAATAGCTTTTCCAGGAACTCTCTCCCCTGATTACTTTCACTAAATTTACTCTTTAGTGAGTTTCCACCATTGCCCTTTGAGACCTCTCTGAACAATTAAAAGCCCCAAGAGTTAACTCAAAGGCCTTTAGATTGCTCAAGAATGGGAGCCAGGTGTGTACTTTTTTTTTAACTATAAGATTACTCCCTGACCTTCTCCCTGGGGTGCAAGAATTATCCAGGTGATTGTCCAGCCTTCCACAACAAGCTGCGTGGATAGTCAAAGTATTGTGTGAATTCCTAGATAGTACACTAATCAAACATACTTTTGCGACAGAAAATGAAGCATTCATTATCGTTTGTTACATGCCAGGCACTGGTGTGAAATGCTTTACATGACTATTTTAATAATTACAACAACCCTGAGTTTGGGGTAAATATTATTATTGACCTTTTTAAAAAACCGATGAATAAAGAGAGCCTCAAAGGAGTTAAGTAGGGACTTCCCTGTTGGCACACTGGTTAAGAATCTGCCTGCCAGCGGGGACACAGGTCTGAGCCCTGGTCTGGGAAGTGGGCCACGACTACTGAGCCTGAGCTCTAGAGCCTGCGAGCCACAACAACTGAAGCCCACGTGCCTAGAGCCCGTGCTCCGCAAGAGGTGAAGCCACCGCAATGAGAAGCCCGGGAACCACAACAAAGAGTAGCCCCTGCTTGCCGCAACTAGAGAAAGACCACGGGCAGCAACAAAGACCCAACACAGCCAAATTAAATAAATAAATTTATTTATTTTAAAAAAGGAGTTAAGTAATTTGCTTGATGTATTATAACACAGCTAGGAGGTTGCAGAGCTGTGACCAAACCCAGTATTATTTGACTCCAAAGCCTTGATTTTATCCTATACTCTCCAACAGCAAGCAGACCAAAAATTGTAATACTTCAGTCAGCTATCATATTAGTAAACATTTAAGTAAAGGATAATATTCAATGCTGGTGAGATTAAAAGGGTGCTCCCAGACATTGTGAGTGGGAGTGTAAACTGAAACAACCTATTTAGAAACAGTTTGGTGCTGTGATTCAACCTAAAAAAATGTTCATACTCTGTATCTGAGATTTTATCTGAATGAAATAATCTGAAATAGAGCAAAAGTTTTGTTCATAAGCTGTATGTCACAATATTATTTATAAGATGCAAAAATAAAGATTATGGAAACTAAATGTCTTAAAAGTAACCATAAGTACTTTGTAGCATTTTAGGGAACAATTTAAAAAGTATAGTATTAAGTGAAGAAAAACCCCACAAGTTATGAAACTAACCATGTAGTATGATCACATCTATGTTTTAAAAAAAACAAAACAAAACTATGAAGTGTTAGAAAAAAGGAAAAATTGAAACCCAGAGTTGTCTCAGGATGATGTTTCTATGGGCACTCCTCCCC